TATATATATATATATTCTTTGGGAATTTCATCCAAAATTTAGATTTTTACCAATTTTTTTTTACTATTTGAAGTCATAATCACATGTATTTTAATTTAGTTTTTGAAATTATAATAAAAAGATATGGGTAAGATGTTAGATCATACGTATTTTGATTCGCGTTTTGAAAAAAATTTATAATCAAAATCCATAGGTAAAAAGTTAAATAGTTCGTGCTTTATGTATTTTGATAAATTACCCTTTTTATTTAATGTGGTCCATCACTTTGACCACCGAGTAAATGATACGAAGACGCACATATGTCATATGTGGACAGTTTCTTATGAGTAAATGATAACCGAAGAAAATTTCATTACGTATACTCTACAACTGGCAAATATTTTAGTGCTCTTTCTAAGTTTTGGATCCAATTCTAGTTACCGCAGTCCAACTCAAACGATTAGCGAGTCAGACCGAGCTAGAGTAAAAAAAATGGAAAAAATATTAAATATGAAAAAAGTTGAAAACTAGTTTTATTTATGCAGACTCTCACCACATATCCAACTCGGTCAATTCTGAGTCCGACGACCAACGTTGGAATCACTATTTCTTTATACCATGTGCATTAACATTTGTTTTTTTATGTTGCACATGTTCACATCAGTTTCTTCCTCCCCCTTTTATTTTTTAAGTTCCTCCCTTTTTTACATTGCTTTTGTTCTCCTTTCCTTTTCCAAGTTTTGAAACCCTAGATCATGCCTTTTCTCAAGCATTCTCATTTTACACAAAATGCTTTTAGACATGCCTATGCCTTTACTGTACCAAGTGGGACAATAGGCTTGACCTAAAGGCCAAAACCACTTTTACAGCATGGGAAAAGCCCTAAACAAAAGTCCAAAAGTCCTATACTTTTGGGAGTAACAAATAAATACTTACATCCATTATGTGGACTCCACACCCAAAAAAGAAAAATGTCTTAGTCATATGAGGGTCCACCAAAGTGGTACATGGATAGACTCAACAACAAAAAATTGTCTTAGTCGTATGCGGGTCCACCAAAGAGGTCCATTGATAGAATCCCTGTGGCTACCAAAAAGCACCATGTAAGAATGTTGCTATTCTCAGGTCACCATCCATTTTTTTTTTTTGTTTTAGTTGATGGACGTTTGCTTTTCATGTGGTCTCTAAGCTTTTGATTCGCTTGAATGTACGGTTCTGATCTTGAGTTTGCAGGCTCCCCAGTGGTGTGTGGACCGTCCATCATAATCTTGATCTAATTTATTGATCATAGAATACTAAACATTAAGTTGTTACATAAAAGTTGTTTGTATTCTTGAATAATAAAAATTTAGAATAACGAAAAGGTAAAGTATTTTGTAGGGCCACAGCTTTATAGGGTGGAATTTCACTTTTTTAAAAAAAATGTTGATATGGCTTTGACCTTAAAAAAGAAAAAAAAAAGGATATAGTATCATATTTTTTGTATTATTTATTTTAGACATTCGTAGATTTGTTAGATATACACAATTTTTGTAGCTTCAAATTCTATAATGACGTGCAAAATAAGTTTGCACTACATCACATGTGTTTTCGACACCAAAATTGCATTTCCAGGTAAGGTTTTGAGGTGCAGCTTCCTCATACATCCGAGAGCTGCAGCCCCATGAAATTGCAATGAAAGAAAAGCTGAGCCGCTCTCCATTTATTAAAATAGACAATGAAATAAGGACACATTTTTTAAGGCTAGTTGAGTAATTAATGGAACAACAATCCTTAAATATATGATGAAGAAATTTATTAATATATGTCTCATAATACACACATTGTAATGTGTCTCTAACATTAGGAACATGGTTTATAAAATTGCCTTTCTGCATAAATATATGTGTTTCCCACACTTTATTATTATCATGGTATCATTGATATCACTATTTATATCAAGAATTTGCTGGACTTTGGGGGATACCTACCCATATATTGAAACAATTATTTAAAAATAAAGAGAGATCATATCTGGTAGGAAAGAACATAGAGCAAACAAAAGCAAATTTTTCTTAATTACAATTTCTTAATAAATATTTAACGGAAAAGGCTAGCATACAGCTCACTTTTTAAAGAGGCTGCTCAAATCTCTTTAGACACTAGAAAACCTTCAAATTTATAGTCTTGACCTCGATAATTACGGTTTTCAAGAGAAAAAATTATAGCCTTGAAAATAATTTTAACTTGAAACATTTTTTGGACCATTTATTCTCGAGTATTAATAAATCTGCTGCATTTGTATCGTTTTGAAGCTTCAAATTCAATAATCGGAAACTTTAAAATAGATTTTGAAGATATCAAAGAGGTTTTTGGCAGCATTTTCTAAGTTTTGAGGTGCGGCTTTACTTTTATTTTATAATGCAGCCTTAGGCTGACCACAAGTGTTCTCTTTTTTTTTTTTTTGTTGAGTGTTAATAGTGATCTCATTAAGAAAAAAAGATAGTTACAAAAGGCAGTAACAAAGAAAGTAAAAGTAAATAGAGGGTGAGAGAGAAAAAAAAGAGACGGGATGGAAAAGCGAGGAGTTTAAGAGGAAGTTCGTTTCGCAAGACTGACCGTATCTTCATTCTTTTCTCCATTGTTGTGGCAGAAGAGGACCTCTTTGCAAAAAATTGATCTATTTGTCTGACAACAATTGTATTTAACATATTGGAAGATTAACTTTCCTAATTTCAAATCTAAAATACTCGAATATTAAATCTAAACGAATAATAATCTCCAATATTTCGTAACAAAGAGAGGTTGAATCCAATTTTTATAAATATGATTCTATTGTGGGTATGGTCAGCATAAAGCCTAAGTTCTATGTTGGAAAGTAAGACCACACCTCAAAACCCATTGGAAAATGAAGTAATCTTCCAGAAAAACCGTATGTCTGGTTTAACAATTAGTCTGCCCTAGGGATGGCAATGGACCCAGCTAGACCCGGGACCCGACGGATAGACCCGATTTGAAGTCGGGGTATAGGTCCAAATTTTGGACCCAAAAGGTTGGGTCATGGTCCAAAACTTGGACCCGAATACTATTCGGGTCCAGGTCTAGCCGACCCAACCTTGACGTGACCTATTTGTGCGTATTCATAAATGTCGCCAATACATTTGTTTCTTAAGAATTTCCAGCAAGGAAAGTGGATACATGTACGTATTCATATATGTTGTGCAATACTGTAAATGTTGTAAATAATATGGGTACATGATGGTAAAAAAAAAAGCAAATAAAAAAAAAAAACAAGTTCACAGTCACATAGTGGTAATGGACCCGACCAGACCTAGGACTCGATAGGTAAACTCAACCTCGGGTCTGGGTATGGGTCCAAAGTTTTTGGACCCGAAAGGTTGGGTCTGGATCCAAAACCTGGATTTGAATACTATTCCAGTTCAGACCCAACCCGTTGCCACCCCTGTTCCGCTCCCTGGTAGTAAAATTTGAAATTCCATTAATTATGTAAATCTAGCATTATTTATGAAAACATGAAAATTAACAGCCTCGATGATGTCTTACAAGGTACGCTAATCTTAAAGATTGACATCATTTTATTTTTATAGATGTCGTTTGTAAAAGATCAATTTAACATGTTTTTTTAGTAGTTACATTTTATGCCGGAGCTTCAAGGTGCGGCTTTACTTTTTACGCTAAAACTTAGGCCTCATGTGAACTTTCCCCTTCCGGTCCCGAGTCCATCAAACCAGGGTTAATAAATCATCGGACGGCTAACAAGATGGCACGTTAGAGAGGGGCAACCTAACGGTTAGGATTCAATCAAGCCTCTACAAGAATCTCCACCGTCATCTGACGTCACCAAACACCAGGCTAGAAGACAAAACCCATGACCTCGCCCAGTAAACGAAACACGTGGGGCCCTTCAGTCCGTCCGATCATCCGGCCCACGTTTCATCTGCACAGTTCGATTATCCGCGCTGGATCAGGCCCCACGTGAACGCTGGACCCTTACACGTGAAACATCCCCAATGGCCCCCGCAGAGGCCCGCAGTCCAATTCGACGGTGATATGAAGACCACGTCGTCAGAGAGATCTGATCGGACGGATGGCCTCTTACCGCATTGAATGTGGGAGAACGGGTGGCGGGAACACGAGGTGGCCTCTCCACTTGTCCTCATTGTCAGTCCACCTCACCGTACGCCAGCTGTCAAATCCACGTCAGATGGTGGGAAGGTAATCGTAAGATTATGACTCATCAACGCCATGCATGCATGCATGCATGTATAGAGACAAGAGCATCATGAATTTACATGCATCTTATGCTCTCTCTCTCTCTCTCTCTCTCTCTCTCTCTCTAGATCTAGAATATAAGGAAAGCATCCCTGGCCAATCTGTGGCGTATCTCTCTCTCTCTACCCAAGGAGTTAAGAGCATCTCTCTCTCTACCCCAAGGGTTTGAGCCTCTCCTCTCTCTCACTAGAAAAATATAGGTGCCTTGTTCTGGATACTCTCTCTCTCTCTCTAGAATAATATAGGTGACTTGTTCTGGCTACTCTCTTTCTCTCTCTACAATAATACTGATGTTTGCTTTTGGCATGGCCAGAACAACAGATGGTCTCTTTCTAAATCTACACCATTGAGGGCAGAGCATCTCTCTCTCTCTCTCTCTCTGTATATAGGGTGCCTTTTTTCTCTGTTTTTCTCTAACAACCTTCTCTTCTCTCTCTAGTCATATTCAAGACAGGAAAGTAGAGAGAGAAAGAAGGAAAACAAAGATATAAAAGAAGTTGGGGTCTTTTAGATCTCCCTCTCTCTCTCTCTAAAAGCACCGAGAACGGAAGAAAGAGAGAGAAGCAAAGGCAATGGCGGAGAAGGAGTTCTCTACCGATCACGACCATTCAGAAAGCATGCAAAGCTCTGATCTTTTGGACTCCGTTAATGAGAAAACCCTAAAAGAAGAAGGAGGTGTTGCATTTGGAGATCAGAAGAAGAATAGGAAGAAGAAGAAGAAGAGTGTTTTGTTGGAAGGATATGTGGATGAGGAGAGAGAAGGTGAGAATGGGGTTGTTAATGGGGAGAGAGAGAAGGGTGAGAAGAGCTTTATGAGGACCAAGAGTTTAACAGATGGGGATTTGGATGAGTTGAAAGGGTGCGTCGATTTAGGGTTTGGAGGGTTTAATTATGAGGAGATACCAGAGCTCTGCAACACTTTGCCTGCACTCGAGCTCTGTTACTCCATAAGCCAGAGGTTCATGGAGGATCAGAACAAGTCTCCTGATGCTTCCTCCATTGCTAATTGGAAGATTTCAAGCCCAGGTTGCTCTCTCTCTCTCTCTCTCTGTCACCATGGATACACTGAAAAGTGAAATATCACTCTCTCTCTCTGTCACCATGGATACACTGAAAAGTGAAATATCTCTCTCTCTCTCTCTCTCTCTCTCTAGTTTTGTCAACTTGGAGCTGTTTATGACTTTATGTCAATGGGGTTTACAGTTCACATAAACAGTCTTTACATGACAAAGACTGAACTCTCTCTCTCTCTCTCAGTCTCTTGAGTCAGGAAAGAACAAATTATAGAGAGAGAGGAATTAACTCCTTCCTCTCTCTCTACTTACTTACTTACTCTCTCTCTCTCTCTCTCTCTCTCTCCCTACAATTTCACCTTAATTCCTCTCTCTCTCTCTCTGTCTCTCCCATTTATTATTTTCTGGTTTCTCTCAGTTGACTTCAATCCTCCCTCTAATTGGCCTGGGCTATTGGAAAATAATTTTACTTTAATAAGTTAATTCACCAAAAAATGTTTATTTGCTAATGTTCTATGGTTATCATCTATGTCACATAGACACGTATTTTTCATTTCCATTTTTACAGTCTTTAATATCACTCAAGTCTCGCGTCTTCCCCTTTTATTGAAATGGAGTATTGTGCGGTGTCGGACACGTTTCAGTGTTTCGAACACCATTTAGTGTGTGTCGGATACTTGACAAATTTAGAGACTTTATTTACAGATTATCATCATCTGACCCATTTAACTATGTTTGGACAAACAAATCTAGGGTTGGTATTTCTGACACTGTCCTTTTCTAACACGCATAGAGAATGTGATACCCTTTTGTACTTTTTATCTTTGTGACCACTTTTTATCATCGGCTCTTTTTTCATTTTTTCTGTTATGTTGAGTTTTTAAGATTCATATTTTTTACACTCATATTTGTTTCAAATGTTAAGACATATTCATACAAGGGTAACATCTTTTCTTAACATTTCATGGTTTTTTTTCTTGTTGAAATTTTAAAATTTAATATTTTTGATACTCATATTTGCATCACATATCGACATGTGTTCAAGTGTCGGTAACATCGCTTCTTACCGTTTTGAGTTTGTTTCTGTTTTATCATGTGAAAGTTCTTGTGTCCTCTCTCTTTCTCTCTCACTCTTACTCTCTCTCTCTCTTATTGAGATTGTTTGGTTTCTCTCAGGTGACCATCCAGAGGAAGTGAAAGCGAGGCTCAAGTTTTGGGCACAGGCAGTGGCATGCACTGTTAGGCTATGCAACTAGCTGCTGAAGAGGGGGCAAAAATCCTCTTTATTATGGTGAAGGAGAACTTCATGTTAATCAATGGAAGAAGCTTAATTTTGATGGAAATTTGGGGCTATTCCTATTCTAGATAATGAGATTTCAGCTACTGACTACCAAAATCATGAGTTTTCGCCGGATTCGGCCTTGCCACGGAATGACAACTCGCCGGGAAATGATGTCGGAAATAACTGAAGGTTCATGAGATTAACAAAATATAAAAAATTAAGGAATTTGACCCAAAATGCCTTAAAATATGGATTATGTATGATAAATAAGAAAACTATTCTATATTTCTCTACTTTGGATCCTTTGTTAAGGTTCCCATTCTATAATTAAATAATTTTGGGGCTTCATCAGAACTTTTTTTTATGCTAAATAGATGGCAAAATATATTCTTTAAGGTCTTGATTAAGATGATGAATTATGGAACAAGAGCATCATTATTTTTATATTTGGATTCTCTATTTTCTTTGCTTTTCCTATTTGGGATATGGTGTGTTTCATTATGTGACGTATAACTTGTACGTAAATAAAGTAATTTTAGAGGGAATGGGTTGAAGTCGCGGTGGTAGTACTACGTGAGCTAGTTTAAATTTTCATTTTCACTAACACATTTTAAAACTGTTATTTTTTTTTAAAAACGGGTGAGGCCGGTATTCCCCATTGATCTATCAAAAAAAACTAAGGTAAATTTGGATGCCCCCAAAGAGAGAGATTGGGACTACTTAGGGTAAGTTTGTTGATTATCGGATACGAAGATATCAAATGAGATATATCAAACTGACACGTCCAGTGACTCATATGTGGTATTTGAAACACCTTCGTTGGATAGACTTTTTAAAGAATTAGAAAGTTTGGTATATTGTGATGTATTATTTAATCAAAATTACAATTCTACAAGTTAGAATGAAAATTTGTCATCCTGTGTTTATAGATCTATACATTTTTTCAAAATTAACTGTCATTGTTGAAAATTGATTTTACTGTCATTATGTAGATTTATATTGCCCAAAGTACTTTTCGAACGAAGATTTGAGATGATGCTTTATTTTGTTTTTATAGTGCCTAAGCTTTATAGAAATTTCATCCAAAATCTAATTGATAGATAATTCATTCTAAAATGGTCTAACCAACCAAATATATGACTGCAAATCATGTCTTTCATTCTTAACAATTAAGTTTAATTGTGGTGTTGAAATCCACCTAGTTTTATTTAGTGAAAAATTTTCACATTTTTTAAAGCGATTTTATCATAAAAAAGCACTTTCTACCTCTTTGTTTTGGAATTGTATACAATGAGATCATTTACCTTTCGCATAAGGAGGTCACAATTACTTATAACTATCTGATGTAAATTATGAAAGCTTAGGTATGTCATAAAATAGGAGAAAATTTCTTTTGGACTTTGAACTTGGTCAATGAAATAAATGCATCCACCCGATTTCACATTCAATGGTTAAGTTTAATTGTGACCACTTTATACCAGACATAAATAGTCTCATTATATATTTTTTTTTTGTTTTTTTTGACGTGTTAATATATAAAAATGAAGTTATTAATATACTTGCTTTGCCACTCTGACCACCCCAGCTAAGGACTCGTTCCTCAAAAAAAATTTCACTTTTCACTCACTCTCTATATTTTCTATAGCTTTATTTGCTCCCTGTAAGATCGTCACTCGGGACTTCCCTGAGTCGGACTAGAACAGGAAGCTAGTGAAGCCGAAAAACTCAAGATTAGCCTGAATCTTATGAGACATGGTTCGGTACTAGCTAAATTTGATTAATAAAGCCCAATCCTCAGGGGACTCGAGCTCGAATCCCAGCCATGTCAAAGCTCGATAGAGGCATAAATAGGTTGGGCTGGGTCTACAGTCGACCCAGACTTGGACTCGATCTATCTAGGTCCTAGTCAGATATGTAGGGTCAGACCCAACCACCTGCCATATCCAATAAGGTTGGCAACAGGCGGGCCTGCCCTGGCCCGGTTGGGTCTATGTAGGCTTGGTAAAAAACAAACGAGGAAAAACTAGAAGACAAAACAAGAAAAATAGAGGGTCGGGCCAGGTCCGGCAGAGTTGAGCCGGTACTAACCCTAGCCTAGCCCTTGGCCTGCAATTTGTGGCTCAAGCCCTACTTTTTTTGAAGTCCGGGCCTTCCGGCCCATTGCCAGCCTTGACATCCAATATCCAAAGCCTAGGTTAGATCGACCCGACCCAATCACCACCCCTATACCCGATTCCAATCAGTAAGACAGTGTAGGAACAGTTACTGAGGAGAGAGATACTCATACGGGCCCTACACAGCAAAGAATGGTTGCTATGATTGTGTTGGTTAGGTTTAGGCGTGTTTTGTCAAAAAGATGCTACAGTCTTTTCTACATTGAGCCACACAAATCAATGATAGAAGACAACGGCCAAGCCACACCAGATAGAGAAATAGCTAAAAGATTCAAAGCCTCTCACCAAACAATTAAAAATGCTTTGGTCATGGCTTTATAAGTGCAATAGCACAGGGTTCAAGGTCTCAGCCCTACCTCCAACCTACAAGGAAAATAAAATATGAGAGAGAATATCATAAAGAAGTGGCCTAAAGCAACGCAAGACCCATTGTTTTCTCTAACCACTGACTTTGTGCATCCATGGTTGCTAGGCTTGATCCTATTTTAATGTTCTCTTTACTAGGGGGAATATTTGGCCCACCAATGGCAGATTGGAGCAGTATCTGCCCTCTCCTGTATTGGCGATCAAGGGTATATTTTTCACCCCAGATTTTACACACATCTTTTTTTGTTCTAACCAGTGATTTAAAAAATAGATCGATGACTCAAATGGGATACCCCAAAAGCTAGTTGGGATCGGTAAATTGGATGTCAGAATCGTTATTTTATTGTGCGGAAAAAACAATGAGTCGGCAATAAAATAATTGAAAAAATAGTGAACTGGTAAAAAAAACGGGCCAAGATCAGTGAATCAGAGGTCTGGATTGCCGTTTTACTGTACAAACCGCCGGTTCTTTCTAGACTCGGCAGTTATCCTAATAAAAATATTTTCCTTCAAGAAAGCAATAAAAAAAAAATGATTTGATTAGTTAGCAATCTAAATTAGGATAGAAAAATGGTATTTCCTTTAGGCCTTAGAGGGATTTGCTTAACTACAAAACTTTCATTGATCGCCTTCATCATTGCTATATATATATATATATAAATAAAAAGAGACTTTTAAGTTTATAAAAGGCTAGCTACCATGAAATGAATGGTATTACCAAACCACTCATAAATTCTCTCTAGGTGTACATTTGGGTTAGACTCTGGCATATCAGCCATGGCTCTCTCATTTAAGGGTGGGGCACATTTGGGTCCTTTTGGTTTCTGATTGTTGGAGCTAAGGGATGTATTTATTTTTTATATTTTATTCATATAAGTTATTTATTTATTTTGTAGGGTTTGCTTTTTATATATGTTTATTTTTATTGAAGTTACTTATTAGTAGGTTTACGTTTACTTGTCATTGATACATAAATACATATATGTGTGCATTGTGTGTGTATGTATGTATATATTAGGTCGAAGTTGATTCAGGCCCAACCTAGGTCAAGTCTGTCTAATAGACCCAGACCTGACTAGTGAGGTCTAGCATTCAAGTCCAAATCGACCTGTCCAATCGGCCTATCAATCTCACAAGTCACCTTTGGACAAGCTATAACTACTGGTCCCTTGATATTTATGGTGATCAGTCCATCTACAGGCAAATGGTATCATAAGAATCAGTAATTTTTGCATGGGCCTCTGGCCTAATTTGAACAACTCTAAATTGAGAAATTAGTTTATTTAAAATACGGCAATTTATCAAAATACCCATAAAGTATCAATAATTTAACATTTTATCTGTATTGTTTGGTTTAATTTGAGAATACCTATCAAAATGCACACGGTCACGATTTGGAATAGTTACGAACAATGATTTGAAAAACGGACCGATGATCTGGATCGGGCACCTTAAAAACTGGTACGGATCGATGAATCGATGGTCCATATCGTTATTTTAATGTGTGAGAAAAACAATTATCCGGTAAAAAAAAAACATGTGAGAAAACATTGAACAGGCCAAAAATCGGGTTATGTGAATTGACAATACTAATCGCCATTTTACTTTAAAGAATAGAAAACTGGGTTTTGTGAATCGGCAGTCTTGATGGCCATTTTACTGTAAAGAATAGTTGTTTTTCTGTGCAAGAACTGTTGGTTCCTTTTAGACTCAATTATTTTTCTATATATATACAAAATCAGAATGATGTAACGAACGTAATTCCATGCCGACTCAACGTTTATTAAACCACTTACTGCAAATGTTAACAAAACCAAATAATGGATCCGTCATGGGTATCTTGTTAAATTTTACTTTAATTTAATTGAATAGGTGCATCTTAAATGTGGTGAGAGAATACTTTTAAGTATATACTGTGATCCCAAATCATTGATGAAAGCGCTATGAGATTTTGTGAGTCCTTTTTATTGGCTTCTATGCCATTGGACCCCTTGATCACTTGGCATTGAGTTTTTTTGTCATTTTTCTCTTTTTTTTTTTCTTATTATTTTATGTGATCTGTTGGGGCACATGATTCATGCGATAACGTGTACCCTCGGGCACACGATACGTTTCTTGTCCATAAAGTGCACGTGTTGTGTGTAAGGGATAAATAAATAAATAAATAAAAATATAGTTGAAAAACGAAATGAAAACAAATTAAAGCTAAAAAGGCCACTTAATAAATAAGGGTGTGGTTTGATAAGGTTGGATGTGACATAAAGTTTGAGGGACTTTACATTGAGCTCGGTCAATACAATAAATAATGCAACCACACCCAATTTCACGTAAAATTGTTAAGATCAATTGTAATCACTTTACATCAAAGGTAAATGATCTAATTATATATTTTTTTAAGATTTAAAAGGTATTTAAGGTAAAAAAAATTATTTCATGTGATAGGAACCGCATTTATATATTTACGATCCCCGAGGTATAAAACATCAATCTTAAAGATAAATACAAATAAGTGTTCATCCAAAACTGGTGGAACTAATAGTCCAAATGTTGTTTTAATAAAATTATTATTTTTAATTTTCAAAATTTATTAAGAGGTGACTCATTTCCATATGGACTCATAGATACTGTGTCCTTAAGGTAAACAGTGAAGTTTGTATAACATGTCCACCTTATACTATACAAGTAAGGCATATTTCTTAATTTTGCCGGAGTTATGGAATTATAAACCTTACAATGGCTTGAAAATCTATGTTTAGTATTAGGAAAAAGTTTATATTAGGTTGCAACCTTAAATTGTAGAACTAAGGTGCATCTAAAAAATCCATTAAAAAATGTTGTTCCAACTTTGGAAAACCATCTCATTGATCATCTTGAAGTCAAGATGTATGGAGATAGGAAAAAAAAATATTCAAGTCTTAAGAATTGTACATCTTACTCGACCGTCCAATTTCAAGATTTTTATGCGTTTATAGATTTTTTTAATTTGAATCACTTTTAGAGTTAAGGGACAAAAATGATTGTGACCTGATAAAGAGTGTGTTTGTATAGAGCCTAAGCTCTAAACAATCAAATTAGAGCCTACCTTCAAATAGTATCCAGAAATGTGATTTCAATAGTGGAAGTCTTTGTGATAGCTTTAAAATATATTGTTATCTTTATTTATAAAGTTTAAAGCTTTAAAACTAGTGTAGATTGACAAATCTATGAAAACTTAAAAATCTTGAAGATTGACGGTCCAAAAGTACGTTACAAAACACACTATTTCCAAAGCTTGAATTTTTTTTTTTTATGTCCATGCATCTTGATGTCGAGATGATCGATTTGAGGATATTTGGGCATGAAAACAAGCTCTTTTATGAAATTTTTGAAGTAGACTCTAATTTGATTAGAGCCTCAGTTTTATATGAACTTTTCCCAAAGATAAACGGTCTCTTTATAGATAATCCTTAAAAAATAAGGAAATCCACATATATAACATTTATATTTTGTTAAATTTAAAAATCGTCCTCAATACTTCATAATTTATATTTATGTCCCACTTTTTTTATAGCATTGTCGAGAAATATGGTTTCAATATTGAAAATCTTTTTGATAGCCTTAAAATAAAATTTCATATCTAATTATAAAATTTAATATTTTAAAAATGATGTAGATTGAGTATATCTATAAAAATTTAAAAATCTTGATTTGACTGTCTAAATAAGTACTATTTTCAAAACTTGAAATTAATTTTTATCTCTATACATTATCAAGATGATCAATTTGAGGAAATTTGAACTCAGTTAAGTTTTCAAATTTGAACCTGAAATTTTCGAGGTAGGCTCTAATTTGATTGTTTAGAGCCGATAAACTTTTTCCTTTTTTGAGGCAACTTTTTCGGTGTGGGAGAGCGAGGAGGGGATTGTTTTGGGGTTTAGAATCAAGAATCGAACTATTGAAAAAAGGAAGCAGGCATTTTAATGGCGCCATTGAGGACTTTGGCCATTGTGGGCTTATTTGAATTCTAATTTGTAGGCTATGGTTCCAAGAGCAGTGCTCATCAATGGTTTCTTCTCTCTCTTCGAATCCCCCTTTTTTTCAGCGCACAAACTCAAATTTTTATCTTCTCTCTCTACACAAAAAACCCACAAAACCCCTCTCAGGCGAGCCCATTACCTCGATGAACACCATGAAGGAGACGCTTCAACCCACTTCTCTCTCATAGAAATCCCAAATTCTTCACACCACCATTATCCATCTTCATCTTCTCTCTCTACCCATAAAACTTTAAAGAAACCCAAAAACAGGGATTGTTCAGAGGACCCATTGCTAAAATCCCATCACCTATCATCAGATGTTGCTTCTATATGTTCATTACTCATCCAACCCATATCAGAACCCATCCAATTCCAAGAAATTCTGAAACCTTATCAGAACAAGCTTGACTCAAACGTGGTATTGGGAATTCTGAAAAATTATAAGTTTTTGGGTAGAAAGAACACACTCGGTTTCTTCTCATGGGCTGGTTTTCAATTGGGTTTCAAGTTCGATGATACAGTGATCGAGTACATGGCCGATTACTTGTGCAGGCGAAAGCTTTTCGATGATCTCAGGTGCTTGTTAAAAACAGTGCTATCAGTTAAGGGCTCTGTAAACGCAAGGACTCTCTCAATTTGTATTAGGTTCTTAGGTAGGGATGGAAGAGTAGATGAGGCCCTTTCTCTGTTTCAAGAGATGGAATCACTGTTTAATTGCTCTCCTGATAATCTTGTTTTCAATAACATGCTTTATGTTCTATGTAAGAAAGCTGCTTCTGATGATCAAAGTCTGAATTTGGGTTCTATTGATTCGGCTTTCTCCATTTTTAAAAGAATGGAATGCCCTGATACATATTCTTATAGTAATTTGCTTATTGGGTTTTGTCAGTTTGGTAAAATAGATAGGGCTTTGGACGTTTTCAATGAAATGGTTAAGGTTGGTATGACTCCCACAAGATCTGCTATTAATAATCTTATCGGGGGCTTATGCGACGAAAATTCAGAACGTTTGCGTTGTGAGAAGCTTAGAATTAATGATCATCGTCGTCCTTTTAGTATTATGGTCCCTAACATTGCCAAAAGGAGTTATATAGAACCAGCAATTGAGGTTTTCAAGAAGGTGTGTGAATTGGGTTTGTTTCCAAGTGCATTTGTTTTGAATATGCTTGTGTTTGAGCTCTGTAGGGTGAGGGAACTTGATGAGGCATTGGATATAGTGAGGATTGCTGAAACTAGAGACAAAGCCCATGTCCTAGATATGTACACAATCGTGATTCGAGCTCTCTGTAAAGTTCGGAGGGTGGATGAAGCTAGAGAATCTTTCGACAGAGTGATTCTTTTAGGACTGCAACCCAAACTTGCTCTCTACAGTTCTCTTATTTGTGCTCTTTGCAAAATTGGGAGTTTGGTTGAGGCAGAGAGAGTATTCGATGCTATGCGTAAAAACAAATGCGATCCTGACAGTGTGACATATACTGTTATGATCCATGGATATTGTAGGGTGGAGAAGTGGGAGGCAGCTTATGGGTTGTTGCTGGAGATGTTCGGGATGGGGTGGAGCCCTCATTTCCACACTTACAGTTGGGTGGACGATATTGTTAGGAAAAATGGGAGAGATGATTTGGCTTTGAAGTTGGAAAGAAAGCTTGAAATTCAGGTTCTGCAAAGCCATTGCAAGGCTGGTAGGTTAGAGGCTGCACATAAGAAGCTTGGATCGATGATTGAAAGAGGGGTCTATCCTCCTATTTACACGAGAGACCTCTTTGAAAGAGCATTTCAGAAAGCTGGGAAATATCACGTTGCAAGAGAAATACTAGAGAAAATACAAAGATGAGGTCTGGTACCAAAAACCATTTTCTGCTTCATATAATTGTACGAATTGAAACCTTTAATTGTATTCATGGCCACTACGATTATTCACTCTTTAAGTCCACGTTTTTTTCTTGGTCGCTCGAAAATAAATTCAGAGGCATGGAAATACTAATTTATACTGAATATAGTACTGTTCCTTTGAATAAGAAAAATAAAATATTCTTGAATCATGAGAGCAGTCTCCCTGTCCGTATGATTTTCTCTTGCAATAAAATACTATAAAATATTGCAAGAGAAAGTCCAATGGATAGATGTTGTAGAAGCTACCTTTCCTATACAGTTATTGGTTGGATCAGTTCATTGGTATTGATTGGCAACTTGACATAATCTGGTAATTCTTGGGCAATTATTCATAGCCTGCACAGGATCATAGTGTTTGGATGGTCTGCTGCAATGAATGTGATACTTACTATTGACCACCTCCAAAGGAGAGGTATTTGGATCCCTATTATGTTCATCATGTGCTGAGAGGATGCAGAATCTGTTGATCATCTACTGAATCTTTTTATTTTATCTTTTGAAATGGTAAATCTGGAGAACAGAGATTGAAGCGAGAACTTTCCCAAACTTTGCTGGCTTTAATTGCGGGGCAGTGGTGAGCTTTGCAAGTGCCTCTTGGCCATGCTCAATGAGAGTAATCAGTCCTGAAACTCCATGCCCTAACAAAATACTCTGGTTGATAACATTTGGTCTGAGATATCCACTAGTGTCCCTACCATAGAAAGTCTATATAAAGATGAAGAATTTGGTTATCTCCTGATTCATTGCCGGGTTGGATTGTTTGTACTTTCTCCACCTCCTCATTCCTCATGGGTCAACACTTCATCAGTTGCCAGTCTTCTTTCAGGATGGGGATCTTCTCGTCTTCTTGGCACATCTTCTGTGGAAGATTTATAAATTGTAGATATTGTGGGGATCGCAATCAGTGGATATTCCAATAGATAAGGGAAGTGAGGACATGGATCCATGACAGGATCAGCTTTGTGGGGCTGGTGACGCCCCACTTTAAAGGGACCAGCTCGTTGATTTGTCTGAGGGAGTGGATGCCTATCACTTATAAGCCTTGTGGCAAGAGGCTAATGAAGTAGATGTGTTGGCTGATGATTGTGTGAAGTGTGAACCGTGAGATTATACTTGTAACTGGAGTTTTGGCGGCCCTACGGGGGTGTGGAGAACTATCGTTTACGAGCCTTGTGACCAAAGCTAATGAAGAAGTGGTTACATTAGCTGACAGCAGCATGAACTGTTAGATTATACTTGTAACTAGAGTTTAGATCCTCAGCGAGATGCCACCATGGCCTCCCTAGCTGGTTTTTCTTGTTGGCTGTACTTTCAAAAATTTCATAAAAGTTAATCATCTAGAGGAAAAAATCTTGGGCAATTGTTGTTTATAACTTTTCCCTTAGGAAAATATAGCAGTTATTCAACATTTTGTGATTTATGTCTAAAATAAAATTTTCTATTTTATGACATCAAGATGATGAGAAAAGGATAACAAAAGGCTGAACAATTTGTTGAAAATAATTTTTTTCTCTATTAAGTGAATGAATCTGACCACTAGGGCCAATTCAGTATAGATGGTGCATGAGTGGTAAAAATGATGTCAATGCCCAAAACAATGCCAGTGTACAAATATAAATCCAGTCATAGCAAAAAGCTCAAAATACACAATTAAGAATATAAATACAGTCACCCCTAACCGGTGCGCCATTTGCATGGCTGACGAGGACACTAATTCGCACCACTTCATCCATTGCAGCACTGCTGTCTTTTATAGGACAACCTCCTTCGCCTTTTCAATTGGACTTGGGTCATGCCCCAAGTCGGTACCCCACCTTTTTCAGCAATCTCAATTCTTCCTGTGGGCCAAGTCAGGCTCAATGCTGTGGAAAGCCTCTGTTGCAGCCACCCTTTGGATCATCTGGAAGGAGCGCAATCGCAGGATTTTCCTGGGTGTCTCTTCCCACCCCCGGGCCATGTGGAACACCATCAAATGCACGGTGATCTTGTGGGCGACAGACCACAGCAGGTTCAAGAGCTCTCGGCATCGGACTTCCTACTCAATTGGTAATCCATACTTCTCTTCAAGCCACAACACTGACTTCCTACTCAATTGGTAATCCATACTTCTCTTCAAGCCACAACACTTCAAGCCACAACGCACTCCCCATGCCTCCCTTTGTAGGCCCCCAGAACCCAGCCCATTGAACTTTGACGGATGCTCCCCTGACTACCCAGCCCAGTGGGTATAAGGGGCATCTTCATGGATCACGAAGGCTCTTCCCTCCTCTCATTTGCCAAACCCATAGGCCAAGCTGATTCCACATCGGTGGAAGCTCTAGCCCTCCTGGAAGGCCTCAAACACTTCAATCCCTCTTGGAGCCCTTCTCTCGTGGTGGAGGGTGACTTCAGCAATGTCATGAGCTAGGCCACTGGAGAGGCCATCCCCCCTGGGCGTCTTGCACAGGTTTTTGACGAGACTTTCAACCTTTGCAGGTCTTTGCAGATCTCTTGGGCGCATACCTGGTGCGAGGCAACCCACATTGCTGACGCTCTCGCTAAAGAAGGTGCAGCTATGGCGGTCATCTAAAGAGTAGACTTGCGCCCCAGACAGCTCCCAGGGCATTTTGTTCCTTTTGTTTGTTCATAACATTTTACCCATCCACCTTCTTGGTAGTTTCTTGTACAGAGCTCCCAACATGTACGTAGCCTATTGTTTGTATAATGTAAATCCTCTATACTTAATTCAAAGTAAACAGTTTAAAAAAAAGGTTCTTATCAATCATAAATAATTGAAGGGGTTGCTTGAGTAATAAAGAAGTTTTTCCCTTCACAGCAAAAAAATGAGAGGGAGAGTGAGTTTCCTGCTGATCAAATAATGTAGCAGTGATGAGTCTTTTTTAATACTCCCAATCAGTTCTAAGCAATGGCACATAACCTGCCATTTCAGATTCCCTGGTTAACTCATCCAACACCATGTAAATCTCTTCGCTCTGGGGATTTGCTCTATCTGCAACTGCAAACTCATACACGATATCGCCAATCTCAATTAAGCTGCACCCAGGAGCCTTTCGGTACCCTTTTTCTCTCATCATCTCCCTCACTTTCTTCACATCTTCAAACCTCCTCGCCGATGCCAAAATATTAGATACTAATATATACACTCCACTATCCATTTCATTGAGCCTTAAAAGATGATCTGCTACCCTCTTCCCTATCTCAGCGTTGCCATGAACACTACAAGCATTTAGCAACGAGCCCCAAATGATGATATTAGGTTGAAAAGGCATTCTTTCAATGAATATCATGGCTTCTTTTAATCTCCCCGACCGTCCAAGAAGATCTACTATGCATCCGTAATGCTCGATTTTTGGCTTGATTCCATAATCTTTAACCATCGAATCAAAGAACCGAAACCCATCTTCTACCAAACCTGCATGGGCACAAGCAGACAAGACTGCCACAAAAGTGATAGAATCAGGTTCTATGGATGCATCTATCATTGCCATGAAGACAACAATGGCTTCTCTAGCATGCCCATGCATGGAGTAACCTGACATCATGGCATTCCATGTTGTTAAATTCTTTTCAGGCATCTTATTGAACACATTTCTTGAATCAGCCACTGACCCACATTTGGCGTACATGTCGATTAGGGCAGTTCCTATGAAAATATCCCAAATTTTGTTCTTTTCAATAAATCGATGGACCCATTTGCCCAAGCTCAAGGCCCCAATTCCTGCACAGGCAGATAAGACAGTTGATACAGTGAACTCATCAGGGTTTACATTCAAAGATTGCATCTCTCTAAACAAACTCATTGATTCTGTAAACAGCCCCATTCGAGAATAACCTGAAATCATCGAGTTCCAAACAATAGTATTTCTTTGAGGCATTCTGTGAAACAACTCTCTCGAGGATTCCAAGCACCCACATTTCGCATACATATCAATAAGAGAAGAGCCCAATTTCATGCTCATGGTATTGATGCATCCGCTATTTACTGCATAATTATGTATGTATCTCCCCATCTCCAAATCTCTCGACAATGTACAAGCTGATATAAGGTGAATTATAGTAACTTCATTAGGCCTCACGCATCTCGATTCCAAATCTTTTAAAAGATTCAGAGCATCTAAGTATCTTCCACATTTGACGTACCCCGAAATCATGCTATTCCAAAAAACCAAATCCTTATCAGTAAATTCATCGAAAACTTGGCGAGCACTGTTTATTTCTCTGAAACCAGAATACATATTGAGCAAAGAGCTCATCATGTGACAATACGATTGAAAACCCATCTTGGAGATGAACCCATGGATCTCTTTCCCTTTACGAATAGCATAGAGATTTGCACAGGCTCTTATAACGAACGGGAAAGTGTAATTGTCGGGTCTCAAGGTCTCAGACGAGACCAGTTCGTTGTAGAGAGAGATTGCAACTTGGGGCATTTCACTATCCGAAAAGCCTCTGATCAATGTATTCCATATAATGACATCTGGGTTTTGAATCTCTCGGAATATTAGTTTGGCATAATTCAGGTGGCGGAGCTTCGAGGCTATGCATATCTCTATGATCTTTCTCGCTGTAGTTTGATCTTGGGTTTGGCCAGAAACGATGGCTCTTGCGTGAATTTCCTTGAATTGTTTCCAGGTGTTGCAGTTTTGGAGGAGAGAGAGAGTCGAGTGTTGATGGGATTTTAGGGAGAATAAGGAAAACAGGGTCTCTGATGAAGAAACTTGTGGTAATTTGGGGTTGAGAAGGTGGTAACATTTTGAAATAGTAGCCGTTGCATGGACCATCATACAAGGAAAGAACCATGAGAGATACAGAGAGTCCTGGTAATTTAGAGAGAGAGAGAGAGAAATTGATGGTTGATGCGTGTGTGAGAGAGATTGATGTGTTGGAGAGATCGATTTTGTAATAAAAGCTTTAATGCACTGCCCTGCAATTACAAAATCACCAAACAAAATTAACTCCACTTGTTTTCCATTCGTTATTGCACCATTTTGTATGCATTTCTAAAAAATAACTTAATTGTCATTTACAGATTTTCAAGATCGGAAATTTTTCTTCGTGCCAAGTGACTCAAATTGCACTTTAGGATTCTCAATTTTCGAAACTTTCAAGAATTTCTGATTTTCAAAATTCTTTTTAAGATTTCGGATGTTCAACGTTTAAAATATTAGATTTTACAGTCCCTCAACAAATCTGAAAATTATTTGAAAATTAAAATTTTCGATTTTGAAAATCCAAAAATTGCAAAAATCAAATTTGAAAAATCTATTAAAAGTTTTTTTAAATTGATTTTTGCAATTTTCTGCTTTCCAAAATCCAAAAATTTCAGTTTTATTGTCCCAACATTTTTTGGTTTTGATCATCCAAAATTTACTTTCAATACAAATTTTTGAATTTTTTAAATCCAAAAATTGCATTTTTCCCTGAGGATCCTATATTTTGCTAAATTAAGATATTGAAAGTGGAAAATTTTCTGAGAAAAAAAATTAAGGGAAAAAAAAAGCCCCGACTAGACTTCAAGATACAAAAATCCATAATTTCAGATATTGCAGGTCCGATTTTTTTTTGGCTCTTGAAGATCCAAAAAAGAGCAATTTTAGAAAAAAAAAATAAAGATTTGGGAATCCTAAGAACGGTATACATAGAATAACATAAAGTTCTTTTGGTGATTTTGTAATAAACTAATAACAAAAAATATAATGGATATGTACGTAATTTTTTAAAAATAAAACACAAGCGATTATTTTTCAAAAAGAAAAATTTTTATAAGTTTTTATAGAATTAAGTCATTTTATTTAGATGGTGTAGGTTTAACATTATATAAAAAATTGTGCTAATATTTGCATTATCTGAAAAGACGTATCTAAGCTATATTGTCCAACTAAAATCAGCAGCGTAAAAAATTGCAATTTTATTTCTACAATTAGGTCAAAGGAAGGTGGTAATAGTAATTCTATTGTATTAGATCAACTCACATAAAGTGCTCCCATAATGTCTCACCCCACCCCTCTCTCTTGAATGGCTCTCTTTCCCTCTCTCTACCTATCATAAGAGTCTCTTTTCTCTCAGGCTCTTGGCATTATGTACTGGATATCTCTTATTTTCTTGTTATTAATAATGTGAAACCTACAAAATATACTAAAATTAAATATTAATAAAAGGATAAATCAAATATTAATAATAGTATATTATAATGAAGAAAGATGAAGAACAAAGAGGTAGTTCTTCCCTCGTATAAATACATTGACCACGACATTAATGCCCCCTAAATTTAAATATAGGTGAGGTTTGTATAATGCAGCAATTTTAAACAATTAAAGTAAGGGGTATCTTTAAACTATGCCAAAAGATGTTGTTTTGGTGATAGAAAACCTTATAATGATATAAAATTTATTATAACCATTAATTATTAAATTCAAAGTTCTAAAAATAGTGTAGATTGAGCAGATTTATAAATAATTAAAAAATTAAAAAATAGAGGGTCTAGATAATAGGCAACTAGATGAACTGTTATTGTGACTTAATTTTTTTTTCCTATATCCACTCATTTTGAGATCGAGATCAAGGTTTCCAGCATTAGAACACCTTTTTTTATGGATTTTTGAGGTAGCTTGCCTCATTTCAACAAGAAGAGGTTGACACATTGCATAAATTTTTCCTTTATGTATTATATCACTAATAACATTCCTAAAAGTTAACTAGAATCAACACGCTCTAACTAATTATGTGTTATTTGAGAGTTGAGACCCAAACAAAAGAAAGAATTTGGTTGTTCTTATGGTTTATTTGTTGGGATTACATACAATAAGACCATTTATCTTTGATGCAATGAGGTCACAATTATTTATAACGATTTGATATGAAATATGATGGTTTGGGTATATCATAAAGTTCGAAAAATTTTCTTTTAAAATCTGTGTATGGTTAATGGAATAAATACAACCATCCAATTTCAAATCCAATGATTAAGATTAATTGTGACTATCTTGTACCAAAAGTGATGGTTTCATTATATATATATTTTTTATTTTTTAGGTTACAACTTTGTGAAAATTTCGGGAAGCTCCACTTTTCTTTTTGATGACATTGAAATCTATTTGACTTCAGCCTTTGGGCGTTGAAGTTTAAAAGAATGGCACAGGCCTTATGAATATGCATGGATTTAAAATCTACATTATAAAAAACATCATGCAAGATGAGCCACTTTTAGGACTCGAAGTATCTCATTCTTTTTTTGTGTTTTTATTTTGTGTTTTCCTTTTCAAATATGCAAATGCAGATGATCGATATTTTCATTACTCAAATTACCATAACAACATCTTCTGGTGAGATTTGTGGTGTAGATTGATTGTCGAGCTGCATACATGCACGATGTCTTTCATTTTAATTTTGGAGGAGAGCATATGTTTTATAAATTGAATTTTATTGATAAAGAAATAAAAGTTGCATGTCATTCTCAAATAGTTAAAATAAGACTCGGGTGTTGATGAATGAAATAAAAATTACACCTCACAAGTGAAATGGGGAAGAATAAGAATCCATTAGAAAAGCTATAAAATACATACTAACTCCACAAAAAAAGGGCTATAAAACTCATAATTAAAGACAATCATAGAAACAGCTATACATCATTTAGAAAAAAAAAAAATCAGACAGAGAAAATAAAGCTATACATCATATAGCACGTAAAGGGAACTCATACTTTTCTCTCTCTCTCTCTCTCTGAATTCTAACAGTCAAGAAATGCTCTCTCTTTCTCTCTCTCTCAGCTGAACTCTACACACATCAAATGCACATACACACACACTCTCTCTCATGCATTCCCGTTCCACATTGACTTTGAGAGGCCACCCAAAAGCAACTCCTGAAACTTGTCCATCTGAAATGGAGGCAAGGCCATGAAAATATTCACTCCTTCTTTACCTCCATTCCTCCTGCTAACTGTATCAGGAAGCAGAAGAACAGCATCATCTCTTCTATGAACAGAAGGCCCAGAATACAAGGCCTTGCCCCATGGATACTCTGCCTCCTCAAACCCTAATTTCCACCATGAAGACACAAAGAAGCTCCCCTTCCCACCAGGTACCCCTTTGTGTATCTCTCCCCAATCTATAACCGACCTCACATACTCATCATCCATCCTCTCAACCCCCTCTCTCACCTTGCTCACACTAAAACCCAGTCCTCTCTCTCTAAGCTCTCTCACTCTAGCTCTCCCATAACCAGCTAAAACTGCATTCCCACAATAACCAGTAGGCAATGGAGGCTTCACCCTCTTCCTTATATCAACTGCAAATAAGACCATGGACAAGCTATCTAAATCAACCCCATCTGAGCTAATGTCTAGATCATCGGGAGTTTTAGAGAGAGAAGTTGCTATAGCCCTGCACCTCCAAAGATGAGCAGTGACCACCTCAAAACTGGTGCAATTATGTGCACCACCCCCATTTCTGTCTCTCTCCCCTTGCATGGCCACCTTTTTCAGCAAATCGATGTCCTCGGCTGAAAGCCGGAAAAGCTTGAACCCTAACTTTTCAGGCAACCCCTCAGGGGCCTCTTGGGGGGCTGGGTTTGGGGTGCACCTCCTGAAGCCGTTCGCTCCAGTTTGGATGCCATCGAGCACCACCAGTTCCGGGTGCTCAAATTGTATGTTCGCCGGATTTCTTGAACTTAAAAGACGCCTGTTATTGTAGGGCTCGGCCTTCAGGCCTTCCCCTGATGCCAATGAAGCTAAGTTCTTAATGAAGGTTGAGGCCCCAATTCCATCTAGGGTTGTGTGGTTGGTTCCAAGGCCTATAGAAAAACCACCGCATTTGAAAGTGGTGAGCTGAATTTGACAGAGGGGTAAGTCTTCGATGGCCAGATTTTCTGGCCGATGAAAGAGCTGCCGGAAAATGGGGTCCGGGTAAGTGAGGTCACCGACATCCGAGAGGTTGAGATCGCAAAAAGCCTCCGAAAAGATGGCACCAGCGGAATTTGAGTCGAGCTCAAGGCGGTTATCTTGGTTGAACCGGAGGCGGCCGGCCATGAACGGATAGAAGACGAGGAGCCTAGAGAGTGAAGTTTTGAGAATTGAGGAGACTAGAGAAGGAGAGAAGCCAGGGTTCGGGGCGAAAAAGTGGACGGTCTCGACGGTGAAGGCGAGAGTCTGGTCGATGTTGGAGAGGAAGATTGTCTCATGGCGGGCGGGGGAGGAGGGGTAGATGGTGGTGGGAGGTTTTAGGGAGAGGTTGAGAGAGGGGAACCTGGTGGTTGGTGGTGTTTTAAGAGAGACAATGTGAGAGGAGGAGGACATGGTGGTTGGTGGTGGTTTTAGAGTGAGATTGGGAGAGGAGGAGGTGGTGGATTTGGGTGAAAGAGGTGAAGTCCCTTCCTTTATAGAAACTTTTTGTGTCTGAGGATAGTTGGTGGTGCCATAAAGCTATGCTCTATAATTATAATGGAGAGAGAGAGTTCCTGGCCATTGAAATAGGACTCCCATGTGATTCCTTTCTGTGTGTGTTTGTTATAATTAAGAACTATGTGATGCCCAGCTCCCTCTCTCTCTTTTGGTGTGATATACTTGACTCTGTCTCTCTGAACTGGAAGGGAACAGTTTGTCTAATTTGAAACTTTCCAAGGGGAAATTTTCCTTGAATGCAAACAAAGGAAAACCAATAAAATTTTGGAAATTTTTTGTCCCAGTTTTAACAGACTAGAGTTCTACACTCCAATATTTTCTAAGAAGAAGCTTCATGGAAATTACACAAACAGTCATGCAGTGATTCCTATCCCACCTATTAACTGCTCCGGAGTCCACACCCACTCCACCCCTCTCAGAGAGTGAGAGAATGTCGAAGAATATATATATATATATATATATATATATATATAGAAAGAGAGAGAAAGAATGTGAAAGAAAGAGAATATCAAAGAAATATATATAGAGAGAGTGTAAAAAAAATTGAGAGAGTGCGAAAGAGAGTGGGAGAGAAATAGAGATGGAGAGAGACTGGAAAAAATAGCGTTCCTATATGTGTGAAAGCCAAAAGATTGTGAAAGAAAAACTGAGAGAGAATGTGAAAAAAAAGAGAGAGAATGTGAGAGAGAGGAGTGAAAAATGCAAAGAGAAAAAGTGGGAGAAATAGACTGAATGCGAGAATCAAAAGATATTTATATTAGGATTTACGAACCCTCTTCAATGCGGAACATGAATGAACGATAGCACGAGAAATAAAGCATAAAACACATATGCTACAAGAACACAAATTTATATGGTTCACCTCAAGGGGGTTATATTCATGATACAACAAACTAAAATCTACTATACCAATGAAAGTTACATTATAGATTTTGAGACAAATAGTTATCTCTCTAACTCTCGACAAAACCCAGTTAAGCAAGTCCTTTTAGACCCAATCTCTCCATCGGCACCATCGTCGACTTCTCGTCTCTATTCCACAGCCACACCAATGCCCACTAATAGACTATCTCCATTCCACAACTAAACCACTGTCTAGAATGAGAATATTGAGAGCAACGTAGACTTTTTCACACTAAAAGGAAAAACCACTCAAAATCTTCATGGAAACCACTTCTCTACAATAAACGAGTCTCTCAATCTACCGAAAGCACATCAAGGCGTCTATCTCTATAGGAAGCTTTTTTCTCTCTAAAGGGAGGCCTTGCCTCTCATGCATTTGAGATTTTGCCTCTCTCAAGAAGAAGCCACCTTTCTCATATGGTGACCCAGCATACAAATTATCTTGCTCTTTTATCCCTTATATCTCAATAACCAAGTGATAATCACTATATTCAACAATTTATATGTGGATATAGTTGAATTTACATAATTTTTAATGCATATTTTCAAAATTTTTATTAGAGTAATTTTTGATGGCCCTAACAAAATAGGGAAAAATACAAAATGCTCCATTTATATATACCAAAATTACAAAGAAGGTCGGTTTACACAATTTTTTTCTTTTCAAAATTGCCCCTGAGACAGAATTTGATTTTTCTTTTTTTTTAAGAAAGAATCCTTGGACGAATAGAATTGTTTTTTTTTAGAAAAAAATAGCAGTTCGAGGTTGGCATCCTCAGACTGCCTAGTGAACTTCATTTCCGATCCCTCAGATTGCTTGGAACTTCATTTGCGGTCTGAGGTTGGCATCCTCGGACCGCCTTAAGAACTTCATTTATGTTCTTTTGATATGTGGAATTCTAAGTGGTCCGAGGATGCCAACCTCGGACCGCCCAATTAAAGACAAAAAATATATATTTAAAATTGCGTCGGAGGATAGCTATCCTCGGACCGAAATGCAATCTTTTTTTTTAAAAAAATAATCATGCGTTGACCGATCTTCTTTGTAATTTGTAGTTATAAATAGAGCATATCATATATTCCTTATTTTTATAACAATGCCCGTGCTTTTACTTTTTTATTTTTATTTTTGCCGTTGCAAACATCATGCCCCTTTATTTTATACTTTTTGGGTGCTGTGGGGTTTGATGGATAAGATATCAAACCACCTCATTTCTAGACCAAATTTATTATGGGAATATAATATTGCCTTATGATCTTGTCTACTTTTTTGTGTAAGTCAGTCCGATGTTCCACATATCAAATCGTATCGATACTATTTCCATGTTTGGGGTGGTGCATTGTTCGAGACTTTCAAACTTCCCATTTTTAATAAATTAAAAGCGATTCAATGTTTCAATTATCAAATTAGTACACTTTAAAAAATAAATAAAAAAGCTATTTCGATATATGGAAGATTGGATTACCCCATACAAAAAGCATAGATTGGATAATAGAATGGTCCTATGTTCCTAGTATTGGACCACCCGGGAAATGTTGCAGTCCGCCTCATAAATGCTAAAAACAATAATAAATAAAATTGATGGCTCAAGTAGCTGTCATGATGGCATGTGCGGCATGCATGTAGAGGTCCTGGGTTCCAATCCTCATTCTTTCTGTCTAATGTTTGAAAGGGTATCCAAAATATTTGTTATACTTGTAAAAAAAAATAAAATTGTTTGATGTAACATTGAAAAAAAACCTTAGCCATAAAATTTATGGTAGTCTAAAATATTGTTCTATTTGTCAAAAAAAAAGAAAATTTGTTTGATGTAACATTGAATGAGGGTAAATTGGATAAAAAATAATAAAACAGCAAAAAAAAACCTTTGCCATAAAATTAAAGAAAAATACAGACCAGATGATATAGTACTGTTAATTTAACCCAGTCGGTGCATGAATTTCCCTCAAGAAAGAAAGAGAGAGAATAGGAAAAAAAGATAGAGAAAGAGAGGTTGGGTAAGTAAATATTGGGGAGGTACATTGGTCCCATGAGGTCCTGTTGATGGGTCTTAAATCTGTCCTTTCTATCTCTCACCCTAAAACATCAATTGAATTGATTGATGCCTGAAAATGTAGAATGCAAAATATGGTATACACCAAACAGTTAGCTTTCCATCATTTATGTTCTATGCCCTGTAGGACCAATCAATTATTAGTACTCACAAAAAAGAACATACTGAATGAGACAGAGATAGGGACCTTTTCCCATCAATAAAATGGTTAAACTATATAAAAATACTATTAATGTGGTTCAATTCCACCAACTCAGTGGTCACTGTATATTATTTTTAGAGTAAATTCGGTCGGTCAACCAACATTTTCATTTCAAAATTTCCCCTTGGTCTTAGGGTGACATCTTCAAACCGAATTAGATTTTTTTTTTATTTTATTTCTTTTTTTTTTCTGATTTTTCTTTAATAGAGCAGTGCCTCCAAGCTTTAAGGACAATACCCAAGGCAGTCTGAGGTTGGAATCCTCGAACAAACACATCATAAACCAGACAAGCATATCAAGCTCACAATACATAAACATGAACTAATTCATGCGGTCCGAGAGTAATTCAAGTACTTCTTTAATTTTTTTTATTTTAAAATATCCAAAATGCCGCTATCTAAACATAAACTGATAGGGGTATTTTAGTAATTTGACTCAAGGGGCTAACTTCCTAACCTAAACTAAACAAGCAGGCACATTTATTTCGTCTGACTCGCCAAGTTGGCACGAGCCAACTAACAAATAAACCCACAATTGTTCAGGATTGGATATGCTTTTTCAAGTTCGTATATTTGAACAAGAAGATTATTTTTGTACGAATTAAGTGGCCTGAGCCAAATCACATAAATATATGTTGTTAGAAATGGAGAACTAATATCATAATTTTACTAAATTAAATTACTAAAACAAACTAATGATTCCAACCCCTACTTGCTCAAAGTTAAGAACCCGGAATGCTCTTTCTGTGACTAGAAATCCTTGTCTAGGTTCTTAAACGTGAACAAGCAGGAGTATTTTTATAAATTTAACTCAAGCCAATAAGTAACTTAAATTACCAAAGTGCCCCTATTTAGCTAAGAGTTAAGGGCAGTTTCAACATTTTACAATAACATTTTTAAGGAAGCATCTTAATGAAAATCTTAAGAGTAACCACTCTCATGCTAAACTATGTGATTTGATTACCTTGATGATTCTTAAGAGTGATTAGACCACTTTAGTTAAATTTTCCTGTAATCGTATAAGGAGTAAGTTTATATAAGGGTGAGGCCCTAAACAATCAAAGTAACATGCACCTCAAAAATTCAATAAAAAAAATTGTTTCGATGCTTAAAACTTCTCAAATCGATCATCTCGACTTCAAGATGTATGGACTGGATAAAAAATAGATTTCAAGTCTTGGAAATAGTGAATCTTGTAATGTATTTTCTTGATAATTTTTTACTATTTTTAGCTTAAAAGTATGAGTTTTCAGCAAATAATTTTAAATAAAGTAAAAACTGCTTTTTTAAAAAAAATAAACTTAAACGAAAAACTGCCTACAATCGTATCTCAAATAACTTTATAATAGACCATGGCAAACAGCAGATAATTCATTATTAAGATCAATTTTACAGAGAGTAAATTATCGATGATAATGGGTACATCCAAGTGTCCAACATACCATTACTATCTTCAACAATGTGTACAACACCAAATCAACGGTCCACATCCAACTGTACGATAAGTTTCAGGAGATCAACGGCTATGCGAAGCTTAGATCAGGCGCATAGCCAACCTCTCTCAACGCCAACAACAAGTTCTCCAAGCAAGCATAGATGTCACTTGTTCTCGAGTGAGAAACATCCTTAGCAAGAAAAACATGAACACTTCCTCTCATCTCTATCCAGCTACAACCAGCTTCCTTCTTCACACACCTCCTCTCCATCTCCTCTCTCACTCTCTCTACATCCGCCCACTCCCCACGCATAGCATGCGCATTAGAGAGAAGCACATAGGCGGCCGGATCGCCTGGCTCGCACTTGGATGCGATCTTGGCGGCATATTTGCCGAGCTTGATGTCACCATGGACTTTGCACCCAAACAAAATGGCCTTCCATATCGAACCGTCGGGCTCGTATGGCATCCTGAAAACGAGACCGGCCGCCTCTCTCAACCTCCCCGCCCTCACCATGCCATCCACCATACATGCATAGTGCTCCATGTGTGGCCTGATCCCATATAAATTATGCATGTCATGCATGATTTTGCATACATGATCTGGGTACCCTGCATGGCTACAAGCATGCATGACACCCAAGAGAGTTACGCCATCAGGTTGAAACCCCACCCTAGACATCTCTTGAAGCAATGCAAGGGCCTCCTTGGCATGGCCATGGCATGCATGGGCATGTATAAGGGCATTGTATGACATGGTGTTGTGTGACGAAATAACGTCAAACATCGTCATGGCATCGGTTAAACTTCCAGCCTTTGCGTACATGGTTACGAGTGCATTGCCTGAGCATGTTTTGAATGCATGGCCAAGCTTTATGGCTAAGCCATGAAGGTGTTGGCCTTGGGCTAAGCCAGCAGCTCGAGCACATGAGCTGACACCCCCGGCTAAAGCATGCTCGGTGGGGTGAACCCGGGCTCGATGCATGGCCCGAAGAGTGTGCAATGCCTCTAAGTCATACCCAGTTTGGGCCAAGCCATTAATGGCAGCTGACCAAGAAACATGGTCTCTCTTAGGCATCCCATCAAACACTTTCATTAGATCATTTAACCATCCTTTTCGAGCATACATGGTCAAGATTGCATTGGCAACTCTGCAATTTGAAGATAGACCGAACTTAATCGTGCAGCCATGGAGCTCTCGGGCTGGACCATCTAGACCATGGCTTGAGCCACAGGCCCCAAGGGCTATAGCCACAGTGAAATCATTGGGTTCGAAGCCCAAGCCCATCATTTCAGAGAAGAGTTCGAGGGCTTTGAGCTCAAGCCCATTGTGAACGAGTCCAGATATCATGGCACCCCAAGTGACCATGTTCCTTCCTTCCATTCTTTCGAAGACATCTGATGCATTCCCTATCGAACCACACTTGGAATACATGTCTATGAGTGCAGTTGAACCATGTATGCCATTTATAACCATGGCTTTGATCATATGGCCATGAATTTGCTCACCCAATCTCAGAGATGGCAGATTTGCGCAGGCTGAGAGTGCGCTAACAAATGTGAACTCATTAAGTTCTACACAGGATCTATGCATGTCTATCAAAACCCGAAGAGCATTTTCATGGAGACCCATTTGAGAGAGGCCAGAAACCATGGAGGTCCATGTGACTGTGTTTCTCTCAGGCATCTCATCAAAGAGCTTCTGGGCAAGGGGAAAATGGTCATTTTTTAGGTAGAGGTTCAAGAGCTTGGTTTCCAGTGTGACATCAGGTTGGATCCCAAGGGTTTTTGTTAGATGTGTGTGGAGAATGTTTGCCTGTATTGGGTTGCCATCTTTGATGAGGAAATGGAGGGATTCTAGGGTTTTTGTTTGGTTTTGGGTGGTGGGGTAGAGTGGATATTTTGTGGTAGGGCTTTGGATGTTTTGGGGTGGGAGGGAAAGCGGTAGGTGAGGAGTGAGAGGAGAGGTCCCCATAGGTAAGGGTGGAAAGGAGGGGAGGTAGGCCTTTGGTAGGGAGTGTGACTGACAGGGAGGGTTGATATAGCTAAAAATGACTAAAATGACCTTGATACTCTAGGGAGATTGAAATAGGAAATTATGAAAAAGGCAATCACATAGAATGGGTCATAATCTGAGAGAATAGTCAGTTTTTTTTTTTTTTACAAGGAATGTTCACTAATGTAGGCAATAAGTTCCACAATGTGTGTGTTTTGTGTGTGAGAGAGAGAAAAGGAGCCTTGGACTCTTTCAAGATCCATAGTTGCTTTAATGGTTTTCCCTAAACTCCCAATCCTTCTCCTTTGAAACTTTAAACGCCCATTCCTTTAAAAATGGACATACATTTTCCTACATGTCAAGAGAAAAATCTAAAAACTGAGAAAGCCTTAGGACAAGTATTATGGAAAACAATTCAAAGATCAGAAAAGAAATTCATGTGGGAAATGCAAAATGCAAAATGAGTCCATAGTTTCATGTCTACAAACAAACAGGAAAAAAAAAAAGAAAAGAAAAAATGCATCCTTCTTGTCATTAACAAGTCCATTTACTTTATCTTAAGGCGTAACGTAACAGGATCACGAGGAAACACCCAACAGGTTCTGTATATCTTTCTGCAGAAGAAAGAAAAACACCATAAATTTAGTCAATTATTTGAGAACTCACAAAACTCATCATACTACAGAAAAACCAAAAAGGAAATTGTACTCCCACGCACAAATATATTGGCATTTTGGCTTATAAGTTTTAAGCCTGAGGGACTTGGGAACCCACTACCCTTTTCCCAAATTAGTTTGGGTTCTTGGGTGCAGGTGTGTTGCTTTGTAGCAGTTCCATTCATGTTTTTTGGTCAAAACTGATGTGTATAGAAAGTTTTATTTTTGTTTTCTTTCTTCACTAGAGAGTTTTCTTCACTCAAGATTATATATTAATTGAAAAAATAAGACAAATTATGTGTTGCTATAACATCAAATTCGAGGGAATAATGAAAGCTCAAATGGCTAGTTTTCTGTATACAAATTCAAAGTGTCTATCCAGCGCAAAAAATAAATTAAATGAACAAATTTGCAATGGAGAATTCAATTTTCTGATGGAAAGCAGTCATAAAATCTTTGTATATGGCTAAGACCTTCAATTAAAAGGGTTCACTCTGTTAAAATTCTTCCCATATAAAAGATAATCGTCTCTCACTTCCTTTAATACATTTCATTTGCAATAGAGAATTAATTACAGTTTAAATTTGTCGACAAGAATGATAATAGTTAAAATCACCCATAATAGCCATAATATTTAAAATTGTGAAACGTTTTTACCTCGATTTTCAAGGGGGAAGTGGTGGGAGCATATCTCTCGATGACCTTGCCATTTGTGTCGACCAAGAACTTGGTGAAGTTCCATTTGATGCCATCCCCAAATATCCCACCTTTTTGTGATTTCAAAAACTTGTAAATTGGAGCTGCATTCTTACCATTCACTTCAATCTAAGATAAAAAAGAATGAAATCCATCAATGTAGTGCTTCAGACCCTAAAGGTAATTTCTCCTATATTTCAAAATTACAAAAAGACAATACATATATGCATACACACACAGACAAGAGTGTGTGTGTGCAAGGGTATTTTGATTATTTTATTCTTTTAATTTGTTGTTTTTAGGTGTGCACAAGTGAGGCGCAGACACCTGCAAAATTTCAGCCCAAACTACTTTGTAAAAAAAAAATCATTGACTAACATGTAATCTCAACCATCTGATGGAGATGCAACACGAGAATGGCCTAGGGCCTTGGTGGTAGCATTGCCAAGCCCGATGGTGAGGTTTTTGACTCCAGTCTCACCAAAGGGTAGGGGCCCAAATCCTCACTGATTTACCATTTTTTTTGGGAAAAGGGTTTGGGTGGTGGTAGTAGCACCCCATACCCTAGTCACCATGTTGTGGTTTCCATTCCCACCGCTAACACCACCCTATTAATACCTTCAAAAAGCTAACTCCTAATCTACTTAAAAAACACGGGTAGGGGCATGTCTTCTCCATTGAATTACCCAAAAAAAAACGATGGAGATCCAACAGTTGGGACGTAGACCGAGAATACTGTAGAAAAGAGGTATGGACCTTTTGGTACATTTCACACATGCATACACGTGGACACAAACAAACAAACAAAGAGGCCTTAGAGATCCAACAAATATTAGGAGATATATGACTGTGATCAAGATCCTAACACAACTCCATGGCTTTCAAGTTTCACAAAAATCAGAATGCTTTAGAACATGGCAAGGTAATATTCGTCGCTAGTCCTGAAAAGTTTTTGTTATGCTTAATACATTGGAACCTCTCCTCTTTTGAACATTGTAGGGACCTTTTCAAAGATGGGAAATTCCGCTTTGAAGATTGTGCAGGCTACTTCCTCAATCTCCTCATTTGTTCCTGGTTCTTGTCCTGCAAATTGGTTGCATGGGAAGGCCAAGATTTCAAGGCCTGAAAAGTAAAACTAGTATTAGCATTATTAAGCAACCAAATATATTCCAATTGCAGTCAAAAGAAGTTGTTAGGGACTACAATGCAAACAAGGAAAAGCAAACTACCTTGATGTTTGTAGTTTTGATACAAAACATTCAACTCCTTGTAATTTGAATTTGTGAACCCACTGCACGTATCATGAGAAACAATACTGTGCAATTATGGCTCAACGATATGGCCATTTTCTCAACATCCAAACATGTCATAAGACTGCAAACCATAACTTCATCGAAAGTCAAATTTCACATTTATGGTAGTTTTAACCTATTTTTATACATCATAATGAGAGAACCAGTATCTTGATTTTGTAATTGAAGGTAGTTTTAATCTTATAATGAGAGAATCAGTCTCTTGATTTTGCACAAAAAATTCGTGAACATAGCTCAACCAATAGCTGTTAGGATTTGTCATATATAAATCAACAAGTTTGTTGATTGGTAACTGACAGTTCATATTTAGCTGCTAGCAATGAAGTAGGGAACAACAACAAAAGTAATCCTTTTTTTTTTCCGAAACCGACAACAAAAGTCATCTTTCAATGCTCTCAATTGACAAACTCGAAGAGAAAGGAGCTAGAAATGATGGCATTAACTTCAATTAAAAATATTCAGGTTCATAGACAACCAAAGTGGATTGGTACAAATGTTTTGTGTCAATCTTAATAAACTTCAACTGGGACGACAACTGTTGCAAAATGTCTATCCTCTATAAGGGTGGGCTTAGGGAGTCTTTGAAAGAGTAGTACCACATAGATGGTCATATACATATATACACAAAGGTCCTCTTGGATTGTTGTTCCAAGAACCATCTAAAGATACAGTTGCAGGGACCTGTAAGATTACTGGGGAAGGTTGTGTCTACAAAATAAGATAAATTGAAAATCGAAAAATAAAAGTTTGCCGAGAAAGTGTGCTGTTGACAGAAATTCCTTTTCGTAACAAACTTCCAGACAATAATTCAACTATATGTATCACAAGCTAAAAATGAAATTAGATTGTAGAACATGAGGTTATGACACCTAGACCGATGATCACCATAAAAAAGTCAGTCCAGAAATATGTGTAATACCTGGGGATTTTTAGTTTTTCTTCAACTAAACAACAATGAATCTCACAAGAAGAAGATATAAAAGCAGATAAAGGAATAGATGGATTACCATTTAGAAGCAACATTGACAATTAAAAGCACTTTTCCTCTGTAATTGCTCATGCAAACTTCATTTCCGCGGATATCCTGAAATTCGAAGTATTTTCTAAGTATTACGATAATCTTATGAGAAATTTAACCGCCGAGTTTTCTATCTGTCCCAATCCCAATCATTGAAAAGAAGAACAAAACCAACTCATATGAACATGACAAAACATGAGAAGAAACTGCTCACAAAACCCAATGGCAAAAACAGGCCTCTAAGATATAGTACCAAACAGCTGAGAAAGAACAAAAAAACAGAAAGATGAAATCACAGAGAGAGAGAGAGAGAGAGATCAATCTACCTTAAAACCAAACCAAATCAAAAACACACACACACACAATATTTGATTACCTAGAAGAAACATTTTAGTCCTACCCCAATGAGACTAATCTAAACTCTACAAGAAACTCACTACGAAAAACAAGACCTTGAGATTGAGATAAAGGCATCAACTATCAAACTAAGGAAAAAACAAAAGGGGGAGGGGAGAGAGAGTACCTTGACAGTGAAATCATAGAGTGAGTTGGGCTGTTGGGTTCTATCCTCCGCCATTGTAGGAACAGAGAGGTGGGGTTTTCTGTAATAGACTAACAAAGCAAAAATCGCACAAAAAACAGCGATAAACCAATTCATATGGCCAAGCTCTGTCTAACACGACAACAAATACCACAGTGGTAAAAAAAAAAAAAAGGACCCAAATTAAAAAACAAAAATGAAGAGAGACAGAGAGAGTGCAATCAAATATTAAACTGCACAAAAAAAATTTAAAAGTAAATCAAATAAGTATATGTCAACAAGTCCATATACATTAAAACACAAGAGCCCGACAAGTTTTCCCCAAACTAGAATCATTCAAATGCCACAACAAAATCAGAAAAGAATATTATTAAGAAAGAGAAGGGAAAGGGCTCTCTAAAGTGAAATTCTTGAGTCCAATTTATTGCACAGAAAGTTTTGAGAGAGGCAAATATAGACATAAAAAGGGCATTCCCCTGACATAGAGAGAGAGAAAAAGAGAAAGAAAAAAGGGGGCCAAGTTTCATGTGCTCCCGCGGGATCATATATAATCTTTCTTGGGGGAAATGAAATGACTTGATAAATGCATTTGGTTGAGGTTCTTGAATACAGTTGAATGAAAATAAATTTGGTTTGAGTTTGTTGAATTGAGTTAATGAAAATAAAATCTCATGTGCATGTGTTGGCTTTTCCAAGACATGCACATGGGTCTTATCCCAACTATTTATAGTCTGCATATTAACTAACCAAATTAATTATAAATATGAGATCAAGACCATGCAACATTCAGTCCCAAGATGATGAGAACTTTAGCCAAGCCTGAGATAATAGTGGGCCCATAAAAGAGATGCACTTTGTGAGGGTGGTTCAAGGCTGTTTGATCAAAGATAGGACATCCTATATCTTAAATACATCAAATTAATATGCGGTTTGTATAAGGTTGAGGCTCTAAATAATCAAAATAAGGTGCACCTTTGAATGGTAGTGAAATATATTGTTTCAGTAATAGAAACTTTGGTGACGGCCGGAAAAAATTTCATCTCTAATTATAAAATTTAAAGCTTAAAAAATAGTGTACATCGAGAAGATATGTGAATACTTGAAAATCTTGAAAACTAACAGCCTAAAAGATGCATTACAATATGCGCTACTTTCAAGACTTGAAATCTATTTGTTTCTCATGTTCGTGCAACTTGAGGTCGAGATGATTGATTTGAAGATTTTAGGACATCGAAACAACCTCTTATAGTGAATTTTTTGTATGGTTGATTTTAATTCCAGAAAGAGGAGGCAAATCTCATTTCCGGGTGACAATGGACTTGAGGCGTTTTTTTAGCTCCTAGCTAATCCTATTTTTTTTTCTTTTTTTTTTTTTATTTATTGAGGAAAATTTTTTAGGAGCCGCATCTCCGAATCTAATAAGAGCTGCTCACTATTCGGGATCGGACTTGAATGGTTAACGTATTCATGATTGCAATAATACCCCTCAAGTTCGATTTGTATGTATGAGACCCATTAGATAACAAACAATAGTGCTATGTGGTTATATGTAAAGGGCAGTTTGTATAGAGTCGAGGCTTTAAACAATTAAAGAAAAGCACACCTTCAAATAGAATCGAGAAATATAGTTTCGTTATTTGAAATCTTTGTTATAGCTTTAAAATATACTTTCATCTCTAATTATAAAATTTAAAGCTTCAAAAATAGTGTAGATCGAGCATATCTATGAAAATCTTGAAAATTGACGGTCAAAAAAATGCATTACAAGATACACTATTTCCAAACCTAAAAATCTATTTCTTTTTCTTATTTATGCATCTTGAGGTCGAGATGATCAATTTGAAGATATTTGGGCATCAAAATAAGCTCTTTTTGTCAAATTTTTAAAGTGCGCCCTAATTTATATGAACTTTTTCCCTATATAAATGACCGTTTTTTTTACTTTGGTAGTCTTGATCTCTAAAGCATCGGTTATTGACCTAACGGCTAACCTTTTACGATGGGAGTATATATATTAAGACTATGTATCTTTGATACAAAAGATCATTATACCAACTAGTTGTGAGATTTGAAATCAGACGGCTGAAATTGATTTAATGACAAAGGAGAGCATATTTCTAGAAACTGACGATTTGACGTGTTCATTATGCATATCACAAGTGAGGGAGATACCTTTCAAACTCAACGTATGAGAATCTAACTTCATAATTTTGACCCACCGAAGACTAAAGAGAGGGATTTCATGATTTGACTGGGAAAACGGTTAAAGAGAGGCTCCACACGGGTTTAGGAGGGTGGCAATGTGTCGTCATTTAGCTCTAGGGCTGGTAATGGGCCGGGCCGACTGACCCCACCGGCTCTAAAAAGGTACAGCGACCTAAGGGCTGGGTTAGGGCCAATGCCAACCTGGTGCGGCCCTTTTTTTTTTTTCTTGTCTTTTTTTCTGTTCTTTTTTCATTTGTTTTCGGCCTAGCCCTGCGCTGCCATTTAGGGACAAGGGTTGAGCCAGGGCCAATGTTGGCACGGCATAGGCATCTAAATTTGAACTTAGGGCTGGAAAATTTAAGCCTAGTGTCTAGGCCGTTCTAAGTCTGGGCAAGTGGCCATGCTTAGGACTGATAATTTTTCGGATTGGGTATGGATCCACTCATATCCAGATTTCGATTCGAAAAGTATATATAGGATCCGAATTTGATCAGTTCCACAATCCAATCTAGAATAGGGATTAGGTCTTTAAAAGTTAAATATATATATATACATTGTGGTAGATTCTGCTCGCAGCATAGGCCGGACCTTCGTAGGGCTGATCACGAAACCGAGCAGATTTCCACTACGAGTTCCCCGAAGCCACCGTTATATAGATCCTACATAGGATCCTATAGGACCCTCCCCCACCCATGTGTGTAGGACCTCAAAGGATCACCATTAAATTTGGTACGGATATATAGAAAAGTCAAATCTCATACCCATGTGATAACTTTTATATATATATTATTTTAATAACCAAGTAGGATCTGGATCAAATCCACTTATACCCAAATAGTAATTCAAATCCAAATTTTACATATGGATAGGATAACAATTTCACGTTTCGGATCTGAACTGGGTAAATTCTCAGCCCTAGTCATGGCACATCTCAGCCAGCTTAACCTTTTTTTTCTTAATGAATTTTTTATACAAGGTCTAATTTATATCGGCACAACTCAGCCCAACCCTATAAATGGGCCCAACCTTGGCAAGAGGGGCTAGCCTGAGCCCAGCCTATTGCTTCACTTATATAACAAATCCAAGATCACAAGTCCTAAGTTAATAATTGAGGAAGAGAGAGAGAGATGATGGCTTTGACAAAGGAAAGAAGCAAAGACGGTTACATAATCCTTCATGCCAAAGAAGTCGCCTTTGGCGACACATTTACTTGCCGTAGGTGACCTGCTCCCCTCTCACCCCTCCATCTATAAAACTCCCCAATCCCATCATCCAAAAAACCATGCATTTGCACCTCTCTCTCTCTCTCTCTCTCTCTGGAAAAAACAACAGAAAAACAACAAACCAGGCATCCCTTCAAGGAGGAAGAAAAACCCTCTTTCTTGTTGCCTTTAAAGAAGTGAGAAAGAAAGATAGTGATGAAGATAAGAAAGGTTTTCCTATTGCTTTTGGCTTTTCAATCAATTGCTATGGTTTGTCATGGGGCTAGGCCTTTGAGAAATGGGAGGTGTGATGAATTGTATATTGTGAAAGATGGGGAAACACTTCAAACCATAAGTGAGAAATGCAATGCCCCCTTCCTCCTTTTTGACAATCCTCACATCCTTGACACTGATGACATAGGTGCGGGTGTCGTCTTAAGGGTTAGGTGCTCCTCGTACGATTCCAACTCATAGCGAAAATTGTCAAACGTGAAATGAAATATAGTTTGTGGGAGAGAAGTGGTTGAGGCCAATTTTGTGTATATTTGTTAATACTTGTATTTATTTATTTTTTGACAATAATATTTGCATATTTTATTCTTCCTTACTAAATTGAGGGCCGGGTCCAGGCCAAGGCTAGACCAACGTGGCTACCGGGCCAAGTTGGGCTTACGCCAAGGCCATAACTTGACCCAACCTAGCCCAACTAAAGCTTGTTATTTTGCTTATTTGTTTTTTTTCTTAATCTATGAGGCCTAGATCGGACCGGTTGTGGGCCAAACCCCTTTAGCCTGTCTAGGCCAAGCCATGCAGAGCAAGCCTTATAGGGACCTGGGTGGGCCACAAGCTAGGTATGGCTTGCGCCGTTGCCAGCCCAGCCTTACCAACAAGCAAGTGGGAATGTAAATATTCATGACTCGCTCTCTCTGTGAATAAGGGTGGCAATGGGCTGAGTGGCCTAGCCCTAAAGGCCAGGGCTGGCTTGGCCCCTTGCTAGCCCTATCCATTAAACCAAAGAGGCTCGGCAAATTTTCATAGTTTCTCTCTCGTACTATAGCACCAGATTCTACAAGTACACGCCATTCGGGAGCACCCTCAGTTCTCACTGATGGACAGCTGATCGCCACTGTCCAAATTGGAAATGGATGGGGGATGCCCTGTGTACAGTATGCAATACATTCAATGGTAATATAAGAGTCAAAATTTCAACGATTCATTATCAACAAACATCAATAATTTCAAAATGCATTTCACACACTTGCCTATATGGAACATCTCCCCCTTGACTAAACAATTTAACAGTAACAAAGGCAAGGCGTTTGTTTGAGGGGTTTAATGAAATCTCATCCCAATCTAAAACACAAACACTAAAAGCATACAATTCTCACACAAAGAGGGGTCATATATTGTAAGGCTTTTTATAGTTGGTACGGTCACGATTAATCTTAGCTGTTGATTGTAAAATCAGGTAATTAAGTATATCTCATGATGTTCAAAAATGCTTATTTAAGACTAAAAGCTCTTAATAAGACACCTCAATTGCCCGATTTTACCTGCAACGACTAAAAGTAATTGTAATTTTTTTGTGCCAAAATTAAAAAGCCATACCATATACTTTTCTGCAAAATAAACACAGTTTTTTTTTTTTTTTTGCAATGCCCTTACTCCCTTCTCTTGTTTTGGCCTAAAAAAAAGGGTCCTTTTTTCCATATCCACCATTATGCATTCAAGAAATCTTTGAATAGTTTTTGAAATACCTCCATTTCCTTTTCTGGCAAGGCTACCAAACAATTTACCCCCTTGCTACTACTCATCCCTTGTATATCAGGGAACAACAAGATGATGTCCTTAGTAGCATGCACAACAGGGCAAGTGTACTTGGGCCTGCCCCAAACGTAGTCCACCTCTGAGAGCCCTAGCCGCCACCACGATGACACGAAGACGTCCCCTCGCGGGACTCCCCGGTGCTCCTCGCCCCAGTCGATGACCGACCTCGCGTACTCATCATCAATTCTCCGTGGTCCCTCCCAGACCTTCTCAACGATGTTGCTGAAGGTGCCATACCTCAGCTCCGAAAGCTCTGCTATAGCATAAGCTGCTAGCACTGCATTTCCTGCATATTCGTGCGGAAGAGGGGGCTTCAATTTCCGACGTATGTCGACCGCATACAACAAGGTGGACTGCTCATTCCCCCGTCCGGTAGCCAGTGTCTTGCAACGCCAGAGGTGCGCTGCCACTACATTGAAGCTCGTGCATGACTCCAGTGCGCCACCCTGTCTAGCCTTCTGCTTAAGGGAATCGATATCCTCTCCGGTTAGTCTAAAGACTTTGAAGTGGTGGTCTTCTGCAACGGCTGGGGGACCGATCAAGCCATTGTCAAGGTTTGCCGGAGAGTGGAGGCTAGGAAACTCAAAGAGCTCAGGGTGGGGAAACGAGACAAGGGGTGGAGAGCGAGCTCGAAGGGGCTCTCGGTTAGTGTATGGCTGCACTGCCAAGGTGGTGCTAGCTGTGAGGGACGCCAGGTTCTGGATGAACGTTTTTGCCGAAATACCATCAAAGGTTGCATGGTTTGTCGAGAGGCCCATCACAAAACCGCCGCATTTGAACCATGTCACCTGCAACCAAGCGACAGACATGCTAAGTGCTGTAAAAGTTTAAGACCTTGGGTGGTTAATACTGCATAGTCACAATAAGAGAGACAGATAGATAGATATACAAGTTTAGGAACGGGGCCGCTTTAGGTGGTGGAGCCATAACGTAAGGTCAAACGTTCCATTCTTATCTATTAATATATCAAAAATAAATAAATAAAAAGAAAGGTGAAAAAAAATAGAACAAAAGGGGCAAAAAGTCTTAAAAAGGGTTGACTCTTTTAATTAAGGCATTTTTTTGAGAAAAATATCCTATTTTGAAAATTACTGTATTTAACTTACCCATATTATTTATATTTTCAAATACCTACTCCCTCGGTCAAAATATCTATTTGAAGAACATCGGGAAATTTAGGAACCACTAAAAGGAAAAAAAATTGAATTTTGAGTTTTCTAAACACATAGATTTCACTGTCAAAAAATTGGATACTCTTTTCAATCTTGATACATTACCTTTTTCAAGTGCATAGAAAGTGCGATTTGGATTTTATTTTATTTTATTTTTTTTATTGAGGTTATTCCATGGATTGAAGAGTTTACTTTCCTGAAATTTGAGATCTTTAAAATTACACCTAGATTGGTTTCATCCAAGAGAGTAAATAGACAATATACTCCCACAGGAGCATGAAATCTTTTGGCTTGTTGGTATATCACATACTATAGAAACTTAGTTTGGATGTCCTAATCCTTATACTCATTAAAACTAGGTGCTCAGCATTCATATAAGCACCTGTGATAATAATTTTTTTCTTTCCACTTATTGAGGCAAAAATTTATTTATTTTCTTTACTTTTTTTTCCAGGAAATTATATCCATGGTTTTGCTTTATTTCTTTTGGTGAAAACCTATTTCCTAAATACAAAAAGAAAAATAAAATGTTATTTTTAAGTTTGTGGATTTCTTTTTTGAAATTTCTTCTTCTTCTATTTTTTGCATGGTTTACTTAAGATCTGTTTCCACAAACTTGTATTGGTTTTGTGGAATTCTAGGAAACAATATAAAGTAAACCATGTGACAAGTTCCTCCATCTCTGGGCAAGGTGGTCGTTAGGGTGCAAAACCCATCACAAAAACAAATATTGGCTTTTATGAGTCCTTGGACTCATATGCTGATATGCGACCTCTTCTTCATGATTCATTTTGAGATGGATTTTAGACCTTTTAGGTATAATCATCCCTAATATGGAGATTGAGATTATAATCATCCCTAATATGGAGATTGAGATGGATTTTAGACCTTTTAGGTATAATCATCCCTAATCTGGAGATCATGAATGTGGAAAAACATAATTTTAAAAAATTAAAAATATATTTTTTTGAAAAAATTTTAAACCATCATTTTTTACTTTTTTTTGGAGAGACCACAACTCTGCATCTATCCTTAAGATAGATTTGTGTACGCATCCCATCCCCTCCGCATAAAACACTTTTCTATATTTTATCCCTTTAAACTTTCAAAAGAAAACCAAAACACCTCAACAATCATCAAAAGGAATCCATAAAAGTGCCCCTAAATTGTTCTTGTCACATAATGTTAGGGCACATCAAACCAAATAGTCCTAACAAAGTCACCCCAAAAGAGACCTTAACAAAGAAACACATTTGGAGTAGTAGATAGGTCTACCTCATAACAACAATCTTGACTTACCCAAAAAAAAAAAAAAAAAAAGGGAAAAGTAAAGAAAATTTTGCAAAGAAGAAGAAAGCACATGAACCATAGTCCATAGTATATTGTACCTGTAGGAGACAAAGAGGAAGATCTGCCAAGTCTTTTGAGTTTGATAATTGAGGGACAAATTGTCTAAATGCAGGGTTAGGATACACAAGGTCTCCAATTTCCAAGAATGTGAGATCACTAGAGGCCACGATGAACTCGGCTCCCGCCGAGTTGCAGTCGATCTCAAACCGACGTGAATGTTCATTGAAGTGGAGCCGGCCAGCCATGAAATCATATGGCACGAGGAGTCTAGAGAGAGCCGACTCGAACAGTTCGACAACAATCTTCTGGTGGTATTCAGGATTGGCCGGGAAAAAATGCACGGTCTCGACGTTGAAGGTGAGGATCTGGTCTATGTTAGAGAGGAACATGGAACTCCTTGGGGTTTTCTCGAAAGGGAGGACTATCGATGACCTTTCAATTGTGACCTTAAGGTCTTCAACAAGGGGAGCTTGAGCTTGGCATTGGGCATCCATGGAGTTCTCTTAGGGGGAAAAACCAAGTACAAGACTCTAGTGCAGTCTTAGTGATCTTGGAGAGTACATCTCCTACTTTGGCAAATACCCAAATTTATAATGGTTTTAAAGTCACCGGAGTAGATAGGGACTTGTGAGATTTACCGACATTCGGTCGAAACCTCAGACATTTATAAATAAAAAAGGTTTCTATACTTCTCCTACAGCATAGAAGACCTATATTTCCCCTACTATCCAACCATCCAATTTTGCTTAAGAGAGCCACTCATTGTTTGATCTTAGATCTGACGTCTTAAAGTACTTTATTTTTTGTTTTTTTATACAAATTATATGAATATGAAATTTGTTATCTGCCATCTTCTCATTGGGGTGCATCTATAAAAAATATTAGAAATAATTTTTTGATAAAATATAATGACCAAAATACCCTTTAAAACTTTCAAGAGTATTTTGGTTATTTTATTTTATTGAAATTTTATATATATATATATATTGCTAGTGCGAGCTTAATAGAGGATTGGACATACAAAAGTTGGTGTCAAAATAGTTTATAGAACAAATTAAAAATAAACTAGTGTAGAAATATGACATTATGATTGGGACAATCTTAGCCCTCCATTCAAAATGAATAGTTGGATAAGGAAAAGTATATAAATTTTATGGTGTAGAAAAAACATAAGAAATTTGCCTTTTATAAATTTTATGTGTATAAAAACCGATAAAAAGTTTGCCCCAAAGGGAGGCATGGGTGTGAGGTTGGGGATTACCTTTTTTGTCAAGGGTGCTAGGTTTGGTTTTAGGGTTATTGTCCTCAGCTCTCTTCATGAGGTATTGATGGTTATAAAGACATTTCCTGGTGGGTGTAAAGGCTGTTGCTTTTTTTAGTTGGGATGTCCATTAAATGGTTGGTACGGGTGCATGTGAATTATTAGTGATCATAGAGGCTTAAATGGATGAATGAGACGGCCTCCATACAGGATGAAGTTTCTTAGGGCTTAGGCTTTATAAAAACAAAATACAGGCTCACCTCAAATTCTTGTCTTGAATCCACTTTTAGCAATGAAAATCTCCATTAAAGATCTAAATCACTCTCCACCACCCGAAAATAAAATTTAAAACTCAAAAGATGGTACAGATCTTGCGGATCTATAAACACTTAATTTTAGGGTGAAATGGACCGTTTAGATAATTTGTTACAATATAAATGATTTTTATAGCTTAAAATCCTTTTTTTTTTCACTGATGATCTATTTAAAGTTTTTCTAATACTTGAATTATTTTTGATGAATTATGAGATGAAGCTTTATTTATTTTGATAGAACTGCAGCCATATCCAACCAACAAATAGGGAGTAGGTGGCCTGAATAAGGAAATTCCTTCCTGCCCTAAAGTTTTCTTATATGTAAAAGATTTTCTCAAAATGGCCAAACCACCAGATAAGAAATGATGCAGTAGTTATATTAATAATTTTAACAATGAGCGTGTATACCATGCTCCGACAGGAGCATATTGTATAGTTACTCCCTCGGGCATAAGACCAACTTGGGAACAGTGGTTTTATCCGAAATTTTGGAAACTGCTTAAAATCAATAGATAATTACATTCAAAAGAAAAAAAAAATTTTGATTTTTGAGTTTTCTAACACATATCTTAACCTTTTAAAATTGCAAGGTTTCTATTCAATGTTGAAGTATTATTTTTTCAAGCCCATAGAGAGTTCAAATTGGAAACTTTTTGTATCAAGTATAGTGTATGGGTTGAAGAGGTTACATCCCAAAATTTGAGGTCCTAAAATTACTCCTAGACTGGGTTTTGCCTGAGGGATTAAATTGACAGTGTGTGCCCTTGGGAGCATGGAATCTTTTGGCTTTAACAATAAACGGCCCCTTGAAATGGATAACTCTCCTTAAAAAAAGGATTAAAAAATACCCAAATTGCTCTTGCTCTAGAATTATAACCTGAATAAATAAATACACTTCAGTGATTTATCCCATTTAAGGGCTCCTATCCTGGAACAAGGGCAGGTTAAGCGTGGTTTAACAAAATAGTTGATGAGGTACCTAAATGAAATGATAAGAAGGATAACCACTTTATTAATACATTCGTTGATTATCTTATTTTATAATGTGGTTTAACTGTTTTATTAATATTTTCCCTTACGTTTTTTATTTACCTAATTTTTCTAAATTATGCAACAAATGTAACAAGTTTCACATCAATTAAATCAAAAGGCTAGGCATACAAGCCCACATGGTCAGGATCTTGATGCCCCAACCACCGAGCATAGAAGCTTAATTATGTGGCTACTTTGAAACCAGCTGTTTTTCAAAAAAAATACCATCAAGTATGAATGCTCCCCATATGAGCAATACATTTATATACTTAAAAGTAGGTATATTTTTATCATATTCCAAATTTTAGTTATGAATATTTGTACTTGTTTGAATGTTTTCAGATTCACTTAACGAAATATTGAAGAAGATGAAGGAAAAAATAGTTGATAATTTCTAGTTCTAACCATATTATCTACACTATTTAACAAAAGAAATGTATATACTGAAACCATTTACTTTTGGTACAAGGTGGTCATAATTAATCTTGATCATTGGATGCGAAATAAGGTGGTTGCATGTATTCCAATGACCAAACTCAAAGTTCAAAAGAAATTTTTTAAAACTCTATGGCACACCCAAGCTATCAGATTTCATATTAGACGGTAATAAATAATTATGATCTCTTTATACGAGAGGTAAATGATCTCATTGTACACAATCTCTTTAACAAAACTAGCAAAAATTATCATTCTAGGGAACATATTCCTGAATATTTTTTGGCCATTAATTTCTCTATGTTTCGGTGCCTTGCCCTTCTATCACATGGGTCCCCATAATAGGGTCCAATCCTACTTTCTCTATGTTGGGGTCGACTCGAATATATATAGGAGACCCGCACCATATCGGATCTAATGCCTATACCTGGAGCGAGGGCGGGCTCCAAGTTATATTATATTATATATTAGGAAAAAGTTTGTATAAGGTTGCTACAATGTAGAACTACATATGTACCTCAAAAATCCATATGAAGAGGTTGTTTTAATGTCGAAAAGCCCTCTGATTAATCATCTCAAAATTGAGATGTATGACTATGAAAAATAAAAATATTTTGAGTCCTAGAAATAGTACAACTTACAACATATTATCTAGACCATCCATTTTCAAGATTTTTATATGTTTATAGATCTACTTGACTTTAACTATTTTTTAAGTTTAAAATTTTATAATTAGATATAAAAATAGATTTTTGAGATAATCCTAAAAATATTTTACATTAAATTATATGTTATGTTAAAATTTGAAGGTGTGCCTTAATTGGATTGTTTAAGGTTGCCACGTTATAGAAACGACACCCTATATATTATATCAGTGTAACCGTCTTTAGTATATGAGGGCACTAAGCTCTAAAAACCTTGAAAATGGCATGTATATTGAGATATGCATAAATCTAATCTCCCTGTATAATGAATGTCTTCAACACAGATGACATGTTAGATGATGTACTATTTAAGACTTAAAATCTTCATCTTCCCCTATATTAATACTTAAAATCTTCATCTGCCCCTACTACACAGAAGATGTATACTTCTCCCTCCATCCAGCTATGTAATTTAGATCAAGTAAGCCACTGGCTATTTGATCTAGATTTGATGTCTTAGAGTATTTTATTTTTAATCATTTTTTCTATACTTATATGAATATGAAATTTGATACCTTCCATCATCTCAATGGGGTGCACATAAAAAATATTAAAAAAAATTTGAGAAATTACCAAAAAATATACCTTAATTTTTTATTATTAGAAATAAACTCCAAACTTTTCAAAACTTCATTCATGCCCTTTTTTTGGGTGAGTGGACAAAAATAGCCTTCACGATAGTCTTAGAACAGTGAAGGCGTCACGGTCTATTAAAAACCATGATGGTCGTGACGCATTATAAGTCAAATATAGTTTTGAAGCATCACGGCACTTAAAGAACTGTAATGGTTTATTGGACTATCACAGTTCTAATTTAACTGTTATATTGTCTTCATGGGACATAAGAACTATTAACAACCATCACGATTTTTTAAGTGTCGTGATGCTTCTTCACGACCATCATTGTTGTTTATATGTCGTGATGCCTCAAAACATTAAGCCACCTATGACCATGACGGTAGCGAGTCTACCATGATGTCTTCACGATCTTAAGACTACCGTGAAGGCTATTTTGGTAAAAAAAAAAACAAAAAACAAAAAATGAAGCAAATGGGTTTGGATGAGATTTTCAAAAGTTTGGGATTTATTTCCAATAATCCAAAAATTAAGTATATCTTTCATAATTTTCCAATAATTTTTTGATAAAATATAATGATCAAAATACCCCTTGAAATTTTTAGGGGTATTATGGTCATTTTATTGATAATATATTTTTTATATTGTTTACGGGTGCGAGCTTAAGAGAGGAGTGGACGCCTAAAATTTGGTGCCAAACTAGTTTGTAAAAAAATATATTAAAATAAAATAATATAGAGATGTGACGTTGTGATTGTGACCATTTTACCCATCCATTCAGAATGGACGGTTGGATAAGGGGAAGTATACAAATCTTATGTAATAAAGGAAACATAAAAAGCTTGCCCCATCTATAATGCATCCTCACATAAAAATATTTTCAGACCAAACATGACCTAAAATAAGTATAACACACGTTGTTATTTTAAATTTTCAAAATGAATGAAGGGATTTCAATCATTCTTGTGAAATATATCTATTGCATGATAGAACTGAAAAACATTTTTTCACCCTATGTTTCAAGCAGCGTTTAAAAAATCGCCGAGTCGAACCGGACTCGCCCGGTTCGACTCGGAATTCACGAAAAAGGTACCGGATCGGTTCAAAAACCGGGAATCGTCCGGTTCTAGAGAGAACCGGACGATTCCGCACAGTGACTCTCCGATTC